AAGGTTCCTGCCAGAACTGAACTGCCTTCAAATTCAGAGAAGAAAAGGGGGGTTTGGTCCAGGCGGAAATCTATTTTCAGCACCTAAAGTTGATTAAAAGAAAGAACTAGTTAAACTATTCTTTTTGACGAGAACAATTGCTTTGATTTCTGTTCTTGACTGATACTTTGAGGCCTAGAGTTTGATATCCTTTCTCAAAAAATTTTTGTTTTCATGATTCGGAAAATACTCATTCTTTCACAAATGTCACATCCCAAACATTTTTTTGTTACAAGGAGTTTAGTTCCAGTGGAAAAGAGAAAACTACTTCTAAATCTGTGACATCTTAACCTACAAATCATACATGTTTACACATTTACCAGCTGAAACAACTGAAAATTAAAGCATATTTTATAATTTATATTCTTGGGCACAAATCGAAGTCCTTCCACAAGAACAATGTGCACACTATATTGCAGTATCCCAAATACATGGGTTATGATAATGGCAATTTGTGATAATTGTAATATTAGAATAAGTAAATCTCTGCACTTCAAAACAGTGCTGAAATTTTAGTTACCTCATGCATGGAAATTTTCCAAACATCAGCAATCTGATAGCAGAGGCTTAGAATTAATTGTACTTTCTGCTCTCACCAGTGGCACCAATAAATCAAATTATAAACTCTTGGATCTCTGTGTTAAAATATATTTTTTTTTTTAAATTTCAGAAGATTACTTGTAGATCTGAAACACATACTGACAGTTGTTTTGTTGGAAAAGTAACAATGTTCCCATCAGAAAACAGTAATGGAGTGCGAGAACATTTGGGGTAAGAAAGGTCACATGACTTCATGTTCTTCAGTGGAATCAGGTCCGTATTGTTCAGGCATAGGACCAACTTAAACAACTGTAGAGTCTATTCATTAAATTGCTTATGGAGTTACATCATATTTAAAGACAACTCAGTGGATGAAAAGCTGGACATGAGCTGGCAATGTTCACTTGCAGCCCAGAAAGCCAACTGTATCCTGGGCTGCATCAAGAGAAGTGTGGCCAGCAGGTCGAGGGAGAGGATTCTCCCCCTCTGCTCTGCTCTCATGAGACCCTCCTGCAGTGCTGTGCCCAGCTCTGGAGCACCTCTCTTGTGAGGACAGGCTGAGAGGTGGGGTTGTTCAGCCTGGAGAGAGAAGGCTTTGGGGAGACTTTACAGTGGACCTTAGACCTTCCAGTACTTAAAAGGGGCCTACAGGAAAGATGGGGACAGACATTTTAGCAGAACTGTAATGGTTTTAAACTAAACCAGGCAAGATGTAATGGTTTTAAACTAAAACAGGCTAGATGTAGATTAGATTTAAGGAAGAAATTTTTTACAATGAAGGTGATTAAACACTGGAACATTTCCCAGGGAGGTGGTAGATGCCCCATCCCAGGTTACATTCAAGGTCAGGCTGGACGGGGCTTTGAGTAACCTGTTCTAGTTGAAGATGTCCCTGCTCATTGCAGTGGGATTAGACTAGACGACCTTTAAAGGTCTCTTTCAACCCAAACTATAATATTCTATGATTCTATGACAACTAATCTGCAGGCATGTATTTCACATCACAGCATTCATCCTGAAAGAAAACTGTAGAATTTATAAAAGACATTTCTTTCTAATTAATATTTTCCTCCTTTTAAAAAGGAAACTAGCCAACTTCCAGGTACAAATGAGAATCTGATATCAGCAGCTCTTCACTAGTAGTGTAGTTTTAATTGAAATGCTAAGCAATGGATGAATTACCCTAGAAAATTCTCCTAGAATTATTTTAATTAGTTCCCTCTCCCCTTATGCTGCTTCATATGTTTGCATCTTACATTAACTAACATTAACTAAAGGGTTTTATGGGGTGAGGGGCTTACATGCAAGTCATATACAGTACAGACTAACTTGTTTGTAGACATGTAGGATGGGATTCTCCATGTAGTCTATTGTCCATGTTCTATTAATAAAATCTTCCATGTAGTCTCTTCTGGCTAATTAATCTTTAAATTTATGAATCCTCCTGCTTGTGTATCATGGACTGGAAACAGAATGGTTTTATATCAACCTGTACTACACGCATAGTTCTGTGCTAAGATAATACATATAAGTAAATCTCATGCTTCTGGCATTCATCTGTAGGGCTCAGAAGCAAGGCTGCTTCTCCTCTCATGTACATAACTGACTGCTCTCAGATATTATTTGTGTATATATACATGTATTAGACATATTTGAGATGACATATATTTGAGAGAAGGAAGGTATTTTGTCTTTCCTTGAAATACTGAGGCAAGTTGGGGTAAGAGCAGGTGAATGGTGGCAGTACACTGAGATGGCACAGAAAATCCTTAAGTGTTCAGATCCCAAGCTCTAGACTGTAGAGCACTGCAGCTCTGAAAATGGTGTCCCTTCTTACAATGGTACAGAGGACTCCCTTAATAAACTGGTGAGGTATTACTAAGATGAATCACGCATATACTTTTGAACCCATTGGGGTGGGGGTGGGGGGGTGCAGAACAAGGGAAAGAAAAGCAAACAGCTACTCTCAAAAGGAAAAAAACTCATCATCTTTTACAGACAGGTGAGATATTCCAAGTTTTCTGCACCACACCGTGTTCTACTTAGCTGTGTGCTGATGAACATAAACAGCAGCTTGCTGCTGAACTCAGAGAGCCTGACCCTAATGAACCTGTACCAGAATTTCCTCATCCCCATTGTAAACACTTTCCTGTTCCTCCTGACATGTAGCATTTCTGAGGAAAAACTTGGAATCATTCATTCTAGGTAAACATAAAGAGAGAAAGCCTTCACTAAACACATTTTCCTTTTCCTTTATTTTCAAAGCTACCAGCAGTCTTACAAGTAAATAACTAACTCTTTCTGATCCCTGAGCAGCAAACCCAAACACCATTATTTCATAATGACATTGGAAGTACACATGAAAGTTACCTAATATGCAAACTATGTTCTTAAACCCTATCTACAAATTCTTCATATAATTGCAGACAGTCCTTTTGTAAGTACACACAAAATAAGCCATTATCTTCAACTGCCCTAGTTAACTCTAGGCACATTCAAAGATAGATGTTAAAGTCTCTAGTATGATGTTTAGTGTACAACCCAATAGCTGGGTTGCAAATACAATTGCAAACAACAAAATATTCCTATGTATTCATATTAAGTGTCACATGGAGACAAAGGAATAAAAAAAAATAACAGGAAAGGTAAAATTTAGTTTAAGGGTTTACTTTTCCCCAAATCTACCAAGCTGATTTTCTAATTATTCTTCAGTTGTTCTATTAATAAAATGAAAATATGTTGTAAACATTATCCTCACATGGTAAGCAGTGTGCTGTCAGCTGACTAGAAACATCACACTTTGTACCAGGTAAATTGCCCATGTTTTTGTTAGTCTCAAGACTATTTTCAGACTCACTTAAATACAAGGGGATTTTTTGACTGTAACTTTTCAGAGTACTTAAAATACACAGCTTTTTGTCTGCTGCTCCTACATCTTCTGATCTTTGTTACTTTCCCTCAGACAAGGTCCTTGTCAAGAGCTGACCAATGGAACTGGGTGATGACAATTTTCTGAACATCACTGTGTAGGTGTTCAAGGTAGAAGGAACAGGATCTGCTGTTGATGGGTTCAATTCCATCTTTGCCCTAGGTTACATTTTTCTTATAGATTTTGGTGTGATGATGCTAAATAGAGAGAATAAACCTATCAAACATGGAAACTAGTTGAATCAAAACATACTGAAAGGCAACCAGTGATAAATCTTGATACTATGAAGTAATGTCTGCATTATATCCAGTACACTGATAAATATGTTTTTCTGCACAAGTCATACTAAATTAATTTCTAGCAATCCTAGTTGATAGCTTGTGCATTACTATTTCTATCTGACAATTTTAGGTTTGCAACAAGAAAAGAAAATAACACTCTGTCATGCATGTTTGAGTATGCTGGAGGATAAGACAAGCAATGGACAGATCTGTTTCACTGACATGCACAAGAGGAGATAAAGGGGGTTAGGTAGGAAGAAAACACAGAGCTCAATAATGTACTTCTTGTTTTACAAACTTGTAAAGCCTGGAGCACATATCCATAGACAAGAAAGGTGATCTAAGATGAGGGATGAAAGGAAGAATTAAGATAATGTGAAGCCAAAAATAGATACATCCTATCTGGTGTTACACCTTTTCTCAACAGATTAATCCAGTGTTCTGTCTGTGAGTTCATACAATAGAAAAGCATCCCTGAAACCTCAACGCTGAATGAGTCCACTTAGATCTCATTTTACAGTTAAGAGAAAAAGAGTTATTCTAGGCCATGCCTAATACTTTCATTAGCTTCTTCAGATTTGGGAAACACAGCTGAGTTTGTTGCTAACTCAAAGAATTAATAGCAATAAACGATCAGATACAGAATTTAATTAAACATAAATTAACAACTACTGATAAGACTTTAATTCTTGATTCACATTACCTTAATTCCATGCCAATCACACCATTTCTGATGGGATTGCTGATGAAATTGGGTATCCAGCACAAATTAAGAATGATGTGTCAGCCTTCCACATCACTCTAATTCAGCATGCATCTCTAAGGATTTAAAGGGACATGGACTCTTCTCTGTATAGCTTTTCCTGAATACTGAGAATTGAGGTAACAGGCAAAGCAAACTGAAGACTGGTCTTCAGGAAGTCTTAGAAGATTTCAGCCGATTAAGGGAGAGAGATAAAGAACATCAGCAGAAACACCTAAATGGGAAAACCAAGCTGAAAGAAGGGAACTTGGAGAAGGTATTTAGAAGGCACCTGACTTGGGAGTATAAAAATACTGCAGGTTTAGCATGCACCTTTAAAAATACAGAGTTACACTCAAGACAAGAACTATTGTGATCTTCAATTTTTCCTCATTTAAAGCTCTAGAACATGATGAAAAGAAATCCCTGGCATCCAGGGCAGAGGTGAATAAAGTGATGGTAGGCATACCTGTGCGTGGATGCTTTCTATGACGTTCTGATGTATTTCATACTTCCTTTCATTAACCTGTTTTCACAAGGTGGATGTCGAAACATGAAGCCTGCTTGCTTGACAGTTTGTAGTCTAAGTCACAGGTCTTCCTCTTGAAGCAGTAACAGTGATCTTCTGGAGACCTCTGAATCCTTGATCAACCTCTTGCTGCAAGACTTGAGAGGAAAAAAAATGTTCTAATTCTTAACTCCATTTTTAAAAGTAACCATCAAAAGTATTTATGATTAAAGATTATGCTGGAAGAGAACATAGCATGCATGAGGATGACAGTAAAGATAATGGTATGCTTGCATCAACACAGATGCTTCTACAAACATGTGAAAACTTCTAACAAACTCTGATAAAAAAAATTATTGATTGGAATTTAATTAATTGGTCTGGGTCAGTGTACCATAATGGAAAACGTGTTAAGTGATGGAAAAAAGTTGCAAGACAATAATGCTGTGAAAGGGTAGAATTGAAAGAGTGTAGAAGTGTCTACATCACAACATGATACAAGAAAAGACCTGTGTCATTCTAGGTGCTAAACTCAAAGATTTGGGGGTTTTTTATGAATCAGGGCATTCATAATCTATGATCAAGTGTGGCTATGACATAAGAACCTGAGTTTATTTCTAAAACACTAGGGAAAGGTATCAACAAAGTGGAAGGCAGGCCAAGAACATCAACAAACCACTCTGATTAATGGGGAAATTGCCACAAGGACTGATTAAGAACTAAACTGATCTAAGTCATCCTAACCAATAACCAACAGGGGTAATCTTCAAATACATAAAGAACCCCAAAGATATCCCATAAGGAGCAACTTTCTTTACTGGATTGAAAGCTAATAGCTTTATAATCTCTCTAAATAATTTAACTGCTTATCCAAGCACTATGACCACTATACTGTGGGAAGGGTGGCAGAAAGATGTACTAAATTACTTTCTCAGCTTTTATGCACAACCATTTAGAACCACAGAGAAAACATTTGATTTTCCTCTGTTCTTCATGTGGAAACTAAAAAAGTTTTGTAAAAAAAAAAAAAAAGAAATCACAAAATACACTTTTTATTTTTCCTGTTAAATTATTATTATTGCATTATTAAGCTTATTCTGCAGTAGTAATTTTATTCTCTGCAGTTAAACAGAATTTCACAGCACATGTTTTATTTCATTTGGCCAAACTCCAGGATTGTTGCTCCTCTGGTAGAGCTCAAGTGTTGCATGCAGATTGTAGAAGGAGTTACATACGTTTAAGTGGACTAAACACTACAGTGAACAGGAAGAGGCATTTCGCGTTATTGAGAAGTAATGTCTTTGAAGTTTTGTCTATTTTATCTATGTATTACAGCAGTAACTCACTCACTTAAGTACTGCTTGTCCTACCACAAGATTCTGAGGAGCACCAAAACTGGTGACGTCTCTAACTCCTTTTAACTTATTTTATTACTGAAACTAACCTTTCTCCTTCTTTTAGGAAATAATGTATTGTTGATCATTCCAGTGGAGTGCTCATCTCTTCATTTTGCATTTCTAGTCTCACCTGTCCCAAGCAGCTCAGTGGACGCTTCCTCCCTGAGGTTAAGTGGAGCATGCTTGAAATATCTTGTGTAGTTTCTGGAAAGAGCTCAGCCATTTGCTCTTAGCTTGCTGCCTGTGTGCAGGATCACTGCTGAAAATATCCCTGTAAAATGTACTATGAAGACAAGCTGTGAGAACACACTGGAAAATTAAGAAGCTGCTCTAATCATAAAACAAGATTAAAGAACAACATTACTTCAGGTAGGTGCAATCTCTAGCCTACCAAATTGTTGCACAATTTGGCAGATGGACAGATATAGGTTTAAGTCTTATTACCTCTGTTTTTATATATCTCAACTGGGCCTCAGTTACACCATCTCTAAGACGGGGTTAAAATCTCATATGCCTATTTGATGACAGCATAATTAATAAAGATTCAGGGGAAATTTTCCTTCAAATGATACCTCCTAATGCTGCACTTCATACTATAATGAGAAAAGCACTGCTGCTCATTTAAAGTTACTATTCATTTGTGGGATATAATGTTGAAGGAAACTCTTCAGACTTAGTATTTCTTTCATGCAAGTGCTTAGCAACAGAACTTCCAGTGATTAAAGAAGTGAACCACTTTCAGACTAATGAAGAATAAATTCATGTCCTTAATGGATTGGAAGGAAAACCATGTTTATTCCTTTACCAAACAACTTCTGAATAGAAGAAACTCAGCACTAACCTGGTGGGCTGCAGTTTGTAAATACCTGAAACAAAATTTTCATCTTGTCTGTACCATGGTTAAGAAGCTGCAGTTCTTTGTGACATTCAACATCAGGTTTATGCTTGAGGAATGAAGATGACACATAAACAGATCCTGCTCATCTGAATTGTTTGAGTCCGATTCTCTGTTAGAGTGAATTCCAGTTGTATTTTCTTTTGATGATTTGCCAGTTCCCAAAAAGTGCTGAGTAACACCTGCCTGATTATCATCCATCTGCACTGCTTTTTCAGTCAGAACTGTCCCTTTTGATTCCCCATGAGATGCAACACTTAACATACTCTGCTCTTGCATTATTTCAGTTTCATTCTTCCAATTATACCTCTAATTAATTCTAAGTTTTTCTTTCATAATATTCCTGGGATGACAGGATCATCAAGCTTTTGCCCAATAAAAACCTGAAAGCAATGAAAAAAGGAATACATACACAAAGGAGACAAATACAACCCTGATTTACATACAGCACAAAAGCCAACCTAACAAGTTTCTTACACATACAGCACAGTCAACAGTTTGCTTCACTATCCCTTCTTCTTTTGCATTCTAGGTTTACAGTATGCCCTTTCTTTATATAATAAAACCAGTAATACACTTGTTGTACCCTAAAAATATAAATGCAATTGAATTCCAAAATTAAACAAAAAGATCCTGTAAACCTTACAACAAATGTTTGATGTCTCAGCTCTTGACAACTTCAAAATTTCAGATGTAGTAAAACATTGTGGTGATCACTCCTGACAGCACCTGGAAGCCCCCACCCTCAGGTCCATCAGTTGGAGCTACAACCTCTTTCTTTACATTAAATGTACAATTGAGGATAGGATTCTTCCATTAATGCATTTCTTTCTACCTCTGATTCTAGCACAAATAAGCACAAGATCAGTTTGTTGTAATAAAAAAATCATTGTAGTTTTGATTATTTTGCTGCATTTGATGGCAACAAAAGCTCTGAATGAGTCAGAGGATAAATATTTCTTATATAAAATACATATTCTTACAGGAGATATACTTCGTACATTCATAACTTAAGTGATAATGATGTAATGATGCACCTTACCAAGATTGTGCCTATATGCACAAGCGTGGCAAATAACATTTTAACCATTCTGCTCACAATACACACTTTAAGTGGAGATTTAAATACCAATGAGCCAAACTTGCATGTGCAACATGTACATCTAAATCCAAATTTTGTGCACTACCCTCTTTCCAACAGATAAAACTCTGAGCTTGCAACACTCAAAATATTAAACTACTCAGAATCTGGCAAGAAAGATGAAGCTAAATTTTAGAGTTGTCTCCATCTTTTCACATAATGGAAATGGCATTTGCTTGGTATACAAGAATCTCACAGCTTCAAATAAAATCTTCCAGGTTTGCTCCTCTGTATAACACTCTACTGGTGATGTTCTTTCCTCCCCTGAATGGTTTATCATTAACACCTTCAAAAATATTTTATCATATTTTAAAGTACCTTAAAGATGTTTTATCACATGGAGAAACAATGCATGTTTATCAACTGTATTTTTTAGAAGAGTAACCAACCATGTTCTTAAGGCTCCACATCTCAAGCTGTTCCTCCCTCCTTCTTTCACCTCTTCAATACTTCTGTCACATTCTCTCCCTGAACAGATATCTAAAGAATTTCAGTGTTTGTTTTTCATATCTAGCATATGTCTCCTCACAGAATCTGTTTCTTCCCCATTTCCTGATCCTGCAAGACACTGACCACCCCTGCTTCCTTTGAGTTTATTGATACAGCATCTAACAGAGTAGGACTTGTGTCTGTGAAACAAAGATTACTGTGATGATCCTGAAGAGATTCTGCCCAATCTTTACCAGCCAGAGGTTGCAGAAGAGGCCTCAAGTATATAAATTTAAAACAGGAGAAAATAGATCAAGAAGGAGACATATTGTAGTTTGTGCATTATATTATAAGCAGTGTGACACCGATTATCCTAATCAGTTCTAGATGTGAAGCATCAGTATCAATCAATAGTTTATATTATTTTTTTTCCTTCTCCTCCATCCAATATACCTTTCTATATAAAAGCTATGAAGGAAACACACAGTGATGCCGAGTACCACTTTTTGCCCACACTGGGAAGAAAACCAGGGGAGGGATTCTGTAGGTGTGCACCATGGAAAGAGTTAGAGAACTCTCATCGTGCCAAGAAATTAGGAAAGACATGCTAACTGCTCTTGAACAAATTTGACTGCACAGCTAGTTGACACATATACACAATCGCTAATAAGTTAACATATCTGCTTGCATTCAGAACATTTTAAACATCACAATAAGCAAGTTAACAAAGAAAGGAATATACAAAAATAGTGGATCCACATTCATATAAGCCACTACAATTATCTTCTAGAACTTCAGCTTTTTAACTTTCAGCCCAGTTGTAATGCTTGTTAACCAAGCCCAGGTAGCCTTTGTTGACAGCATACATGTGGATTTCTTTCGTCCCAGAGAAGTAAGCACTGTATCTCCTCCCATCAAATGAAAAGGGATGAAACAGAGCTCATTAACAATACATCAGAATCTGCACTGACTACTGTAATACAAATTTATTGAAAGCAATGCTTAATCACATGGACTGTAGCTATACAGTTAACCTAAAATTACACATAAGCATTTATATATCACAGACCCACTGCATGGAGACAGACTCTGAAGCAGGCACTAAAGCCACCCAGATCCAGTCAGTTTTATTAAAGCAAATTCATTTGCTTTTATACCTGGTCATCTTATGCCAAATGTCCACTTTGTTACAGGGATGGTCCTGTTACTTTACTTACTTCCACAAAGTGAAAACTTTCTTCCCTTTTTAGATTTAGGAGCATATTAAGACTCAGGCTTTTATACTGCTTTCCTACTAAAAGGGATGCTAGGAAGCAAAGTACTAAGCATCTGCTTGCTTGGACACTACCAGGGGGAAACAACCCCATAAACAAACCCCCAAGACCATGTAGCCACAGAAGGAAATCTTCCTATGCATTCTTTTTCATATAAATATCACATAGGCAGTTTAATTTTGGCACATCCTTACTTCTGAGTAAGACTGATTTCCTTCTTTTGAGTGGATTCATAACTTTAGAACTATTTTAATCTAGGAAATAAATTTCTGTACTGTACTTTTATAATCTAAAGACATATGGCATGAGGGAAAAAAAATCATAATCATGTTGTATGCCAGTTAATTAAAACCTGGTAATATTTTAGTGCTGATCTTCAGAGAAAAATATAAAGCTGATAATGCAGATCTGTTACCATCTATAGAGCCCATGTACTTTTTATGAATGGGCTGCTACTTTTTCCCTGTCCTATTTTAAAATCTCCTCAAGGTCAATTGAACCATGGTTTTCCCTGTAAGTAGGGATCAAATGGTTCCCTATAGTGGAGACAGCAGCTCTTTAGAGCTGCTTCACATTCATTTTTCCTGCAGGAAATAATAAAATGCATTACTGACAGAGATATTTGCCTGATTTAAAGTAAGATCCTGCTCTGAAGAGTGACTCCATACAAGACTATGTTTATGTTTATCACCTCTCAGTGACACTATAACAGATAATTGTTTGAGAAGGAAAAGATTATCTTTTCTTGAATGATATCTTCCAAACTCATCCTAGATTGACATTTCCCTTTCACTGATCAATACCAGTAATGCTACTGCAGAAGCAATTATGCCCTCAGAGACACCCACACAATCCCATTCCTCTCCACTAAGGCTGCACAATCATAGTTTGGCTTTCTTTCTCATTGCTGTGACCTTATTCCATCACACAACATAAGCAACTTGCAGTATGCAATCACAGTAAGAGTTTTCAAATTTCTGCCTTATTGTAAACATGAATACTTAAAACAAATACTACTGTAGGAACCACTAGCAAGAATGCTGAAACACAGCAGCAAGGGATAGCTATGTAAAACTTTAAACCAGACAGACAAACTTTCAGTCTAGCATAGGGCATGGGTGTCTGGATATAGATTCTCATATGTCTTGTGTAATTCAGCCATTTGGAGTCACTCCTCATTTTCTTCTGAATGAAGGAGAAAGAAGAGAACCAGTTAGTTCTTTCTTTCACCTACATCAATTATTCTAATGTGATTTTCCAGGGCCTAGTCAATATGTTTTGTCTTAACTTATTTCTGAGAGTACACCAGACTTTTGGAGGTCACTTCCATGGGCTCAGAGAGCATCAGGAAGCATAACAGTCAGACAGCCATGGAGCAGACCCACTCTGAGATGAAGCCAAATCCATGTTGGTGAAAGGATAGGTGACAGTGACAGAACGAAAATCTACAATCCTCTTGTCTTTTTACCATAACCCAACCTCATGCCAGAATTTATAGTTCTGCAACCATAAGTTTAGCTTTTGTTTTGTTTTATTGTCCTGCAGCAATAAAGATTTATCCCCTATGCTCTTCTATTTCTGCATATGAGGATGTTTTTCCCCCCTCCACTTCCTCCTCCAGTCCACCCAGAATTCTCACACTTCTGCTGTTTTCTCTGTTGAATGAACATTTCCTCCCCGCTTCATTCTGCTGTTAAGTACAAGTGCTTAGGATGCCGTACTATAAGACACAAAGCATAGCTGAAGGAAACAATTTCCAAAAGGGAAATACTGCTGGTTCAGAGCAGTTCAATGATTTTCACAGCACAAAATTCACAGTACAAAACCACTTGTATTGCCTCAGACAAAAGAAGTGTAATCTCCCTCCATCTGCATGTCTACCAAAAATCCTATATGAAGAAATGCTGGCTTTTTTCCTACTGTTCTTTTGCTCATCAAAATCTAATTGCTCATCATTTGAGCATGCTTTATCTATTCACCCCACCTACAACCAGTTGCAGCAGTATTGCAGACATTAGCAGCCTTGATTTCAGTGTCAGCTGTGCCAGACTGACCAAGAGAGTGAGCAGGAAGGCAGTCTGCATTTTTCCCTGAGACTTGATACACTACAGAGCAATGCAGCATCTTTGGTCTTGGTACTAACAGCACTGAATGAACTTGTATTTAACATCATACAAATACAACTAAAGACTTTGAAGCTTCATCCAGACTAAGTATAAAATACCAACATGACAGTGATAATTCTTGTGTCCTCAGCCATTTATTTTTTTTTGGTGTTCTTCAAATACCCATAATCAACAACAGAAAGAGGTCTGTATGTTTTAGAGATACCAAAACCTGCACACATCCTATGCTAACAGCTCCAGTAAACTGAGGCTGGAAAGCACACTGCCTAGTGATGTGCTCCAGGGCACCTTAAGGACTGATGGAGTGAAAAAAAAGGGGAGCAAGAGACTTCCCACCTCCTTAACAGCGAGCAAATAAACCACAGAATGATTACCTGCTGAGAAAAGTCTTGAGAGAAAAAAAAAGCATAGCTTAAAATTAATTAACTTTCAAAGGCATTAGGGTTATTAACTAAATCCATACTAGAAGGCAGAAGAGAAAAAATATTTTAGATTAAATTTCAGTTAAAAAACCTAAACTTCATTTAAGCATTGGTATTGCTACCTCAATTTTCTGCACCAAATTTGCCCCAAGGAAGATTCTGAGAGATAAGTTTGAAAAAAGGAAAAAAGTAAGCTGTGCTTGATCAGATGAGATTTCGAAGTGGTTACTGCAACAACACTATACATAAAAAGTATTTTTTAAAAAAGGCCTTTCAACTAACGCTTCAGAAAGGCAATTAGTATCCATGCAGTATGGAAAATTCTGTAAACTGACAAATTCCATTTTAATCATCCTGTATTTTGGACACTTACTCCTTTTACTTTACTGTTACTAGTATTGTCACTTGTTTTCTGAGGCCAACCAAAGCTCTACTGCAAAACCCATTAATTTAAATAGGTGGTGTAGCCATACAATCAACAGACTTCTTGCCTTACTGAAATAAGGCATAAATCACCATTTTTCCTCTGCCAGTGTTTTACTTTAAAAAAGGTGGTGGTGGAGGTGTATTTTTTAACAGTGTTTAGAATTCCTCAGTAGTGATGATCTCTACTTACAGTTGTGCCTTTCTTAATAAGAATCATTACATTTTCCCTCCGCTCTTTTGTCAGTGCTTAGGCCTCTCCATAACACCAAGTACCTAGATTCTTGAAATGACCCTGTTCCAACCATCACATCATACAAGAAAATGGTTTAACAACACGAGCTACATTTCAAAATTTACACAGATGCAAGGAACTGATACAAAAATTCCCAATGCAAAATACTTCCCTTGAAAGTAGACTTTCAAGCAAACACATTTACTAACTGAACTAGAGAAGATTGCTTGGATATCTTCACAAGAGCATGTGATTTATAGGCAGAATAGGAGCTGAAAAATCAGGCATTTCACAAGGTTAACAAGCTTGCTGTTACACACAGTAACACTATAAAAGCAAGAGATGTATTTCTTATTTGTCCTACCTCCACCCTCCCTAACTAATCCATTCAGATAAATTGTCATGGCAACTTGATTTATACACCAAGGATACTAGCAAAGACAAGTCAATTCCCCTTAGAAAACCTATGAATAGAAAAAGTCCTGCCCATTCTGACGATAGCAGAGATTAAAGCTAAATGCCCTTCCCTGTTACAGGCTCACCATTTACTTACTACCAGAGCAACCTCTCCATGCAGCACTTCTCCCTGACAGACACTCTTGCTAAGACTCCAGTTTATGTCAAAGGCAAGACTCCATCATCTGGAAAAAGTCCTCCCTTGTATACTTGTATACTTTGCTGGCAATGTGAGTTGAGTTCAAAGAGAAATCATGACTTTCTGAAAGGAAGAATTAAGAACAAATAGTATTTCCTTATTGAGGAAACACATACATTTACTGATTGTAACTTGAGTGTTTCAGTAAATGCTATAGTCTCTTGTTGAGTAACAGCAGTACAGACCATATTTCTCTTTCAGATCTCATCACAGACTCTTCAGAAGAGTGAAAACACAGAACAAATTCAATTTTTTTCCTTCATCTGCAGTCACAAAATTTCATGTAACCTTTTTCTCTTTATATATGTGTGTGTGTGTGTGTGTGTGTGTGTGTGTGTGTGTGTGTGAAGCCAAGCAGTAATTTTGCAATATATTTATTTATATATTGGTAAAACAGAAATAATTTAAGAGAATTATATTAATGTATGTTACATATAGGGTCTCCTGACAGACAGTAGCATAAACACTTCCAGTCCATCAATCGAAGTCCTAATATGGCAGTCACCTAAACTATCTTCTATTGGCTACAAAGGCTCTTAACACCACTGATCAGAGCATCCAGCCTGCACCTCTTAACATCCCTCTCATCAAATGCTGTACCTAGCGTGTGCAACTGGACTAGCTGTGTGTACTGAATGTAATGGATATTCCCCTGACTCTCAGTGGAATGACCGGCCCTCATGTTAAAAACAAACACAGCTACCCTGAAGAACATGTAAACACATACCAGAAGAGGGAAGACATAATTCTTCCACCAATTTTTAAGAATGCCTTCCTTCTATGTTATTGAAAACCCTTCACAAGCTCAGACTTGGCCCTAGAAGTGGAGTAGGCAATACACAATTTAAAAAAAACCAAACACATAACACAGCAGATAAATAGGCATTTATTAAAGTTCATCTCAAAACAAACAAAAATAATAAAGGACATTAAGGCATCTTGTATTTAGTAACCGTTCATATAGTAAAGATGACTTCTCTTTCTAGGAAAAAAAAAGTTCTCCCAACACATCTGGCAGAGTGCTGACTTCCACTGTCCCACCACTCAGTCAGCAAAACACTCCAAGGAATGCCCATTTCTCCAACAAAAGAGCTACAAAATCCCAACACTCATTGAGACGTGCAAGAAAGCACTTTTCCCTCTCCTCAGACATTCTGTAAAGATGCACACTGGAGAAAGACTAACAGATGGGTATTGCAGAGAATAAAGAAGACATACTCCTGCTATAACCACTCATTTTTGAGCAGACTAGAATATTTGGCCTTGCTTTTGCTAGTATTTACTATTTCAGCCAGTAACTAGTGAAAATGGGACCACAAGCTCTAGTATTGCAATGTAACAATTTTTATGTTCTCCTTCTACGTTCATATTAGATAAACAAATGACAAAGGTCTTGTTTCCATGGAATAATTTATTGTGATGAATTATGCTGTCAAGTGACCAATCACTGTTATAGTGCTTTTTTCTTCAGTTGGAATAAGAACATCAGGAAATGTTTACAATATCATTAGGTTCACTATAACAGGATTTTACTACAGAGTAAAATATAAATTAAGAAAACACTGCATATAGCACTATTCACTTCACCACGTTGGCTCTCTATATCCTTTGTCACATTCTAACCTTCATTTAAGGCAAGTTTGTTTGTTTTGGTTTTTTTCCAGAGAAGACCACATAGTCTCTAGATAAACTTGTGTGACTAGATTTGTGAGTTAGGAAATTGAGCTTTAGAAAATGTTTACTTCAACAAATATGAAAGTTATTAAGAGAAAGATGGTGACCCAAAACTGTACTGTATTAAAAGGTGGAGTTTCCTTGTACCAAAGTCCTTTATTCATCATCTTTAGAACCAGTTTTGCTTAACTATAAAAGAGACACAAAAAGAAAGTATTCAAAGTTTAGACTGCCATTCAATTTATTAGAAGACAAGAACATTATCTCCATCTTACATAGAACACATGTATATTTAATTAATAATACAGACTGATTGTGCTACTGTACCAAGAGACTGAAAATCATAAAAAAATTATTTCTTAAGCTTCAACACTAAATGAGCTTATTTCCCGAACATGAAAGTTGATTTAAAAAAACCACCAACACAACCCCCCAGAAAAATCTCAGGGTACTGTTTCTAAATAACTTGAAGACTCCATCACCAGCTCTCCAAAATAAAAAAAGATGAAGTAATGGAAAAAGTATCTCAGATATCTCTGAGAGAACTCCCATATAGAAATTTATGCAATGCAAAAAGAGACATTAACCTACTGTTTCTCAGTTTTAAAATCTAAGTTTATAATTATTATATGTAGTGCATCTATCATGAAATCTATCTAGAATCCAAAACATCCACTACAAATAGCCACTTCTAAGTCAGAAGAACTCTACCCAAACCCACCATCGTCATTTGCTTGCTCTTATTTAACAACTGGAACTGGTGTTAGATCTTACGCTGAGAATTACTTATAGTTGCGTAACATAAAATAGTTTGTTTTCAAAACTGTCAAATGGCTGCACTGATTTCCACTGAATCAGCAAAGACAAGAGGGTGGAAGAAATCAATGCTGAGGGAGCAAGTAGAAAAGAATTATTCACTGGAGGAGTTGTGACAAAGAATGCTCAGGCTAGTAGGAGACAGCAAGGTCCTCCCACTTGGGACAGCTCCCTTTTTCTGCTCACTTATCCACTGCCCTCCAGAACCTGGCAGCACCACTAACTTTATTTTACATCTTGTGGCCATGTGAAGACAGAATATTTGCAGTCCATTTGGCTAGCACAGCTCTCTCATCATAAGATTAAAATTTAATTGCTCAGTAAAGAAAAAAGAAATACTAAACCAACAAAGTTCAAAGAGGAATCAAATTCTTTCTCTAATATGCAGGACTAAGCATTTTAACGCATTTGAGAAATATGTAAATTACAATCCAAAATGAGCAACAATTCTTACTATTTCTTGCAAATCTCTTTAACGTTAAAAATAGATAACTTGAAAATACTTACATGCTGGTTGCATATAGAAATGAATCAGACACCATAGTCAAATCCAAACCAAGAAAAGAAAAAAAAAACAAAACCACATATTAGTTTTCTTCATCCATAAGCACAAATTATTTTTAATGTACATATGCAGTATTTTCAAAATACTGCATGTAATACAGTCATGTTACCTTAATTACGTCCACCCAGTTCCAGCCTCGTGGAAGCTCCCCCTTGTTATCTGCAGAAAAGAATATTTTATTGTAACACACAAGCCAAGGGGGATCTTGAGCTTTCTTTAAAATCAACATGCAAAATTCTAAAGATCCAAACCTCTTAACTTCTCCACTACAAAGCCATGAGGACAAAACCAGATATTAATGTGTTAAACACATCTTGTTCTTTAAAGTAACTCTGGTTAAATAAAAACACCTCAGTCCATCTGACTTTTAATTTAGAAAGCAACTCCAACATGCATTGGGCTGATAAGCAGTGACGCATTCTGTCAAAGAACAAAATTTTATGCAGCTTTTCCTTGATACTGTCAACATTTAATCTGCCAATTATACATTAGGTTAGGTAAATTAAACGTAGAAATTCCTATCACAGGGTCCAACATATTGCTGCAATAGGCCAGTATTACCCAGATCATTACAAAAGATTAAGGTTGAACAGATAAAAGTCCTCAGCAGGATAAGCTGAAATAATGAACACTTTTCAATCTAAAACCTACCATTTCATTGAAAGCATAAAGTATCTACAGAAGCACTGTATTTCAAAGATACAAACTAAATTAAATGTTTTATTTTGGGTTCCAAAACAAATACTTTCATTTAGAAATTACATTTTTAATAATGTGAATTATTCACGAGGGCCCATCAAGAAACCATGTCTTTTGTTGAAAGTGAATTTATAGAAGTCCCAAATGCTCTCCTCCCACAAGCATTTTTTGAAAATTGCACTTTTGTCACAAATTGAAATAAAAAAATAAAACAAAACCAATGACATCTTGAAACCCCTACTCTATAGGAAGTTGCTTTGACCAGAATTAACATCTTGGGCAAGATTAATTCATCTAAAACAAGCAAAACTGAGACCACAGACTTAAAGTAGTTAATAGAAACAAATGACTACTGATTCTGACTCTAGCAAGATGTCACTGCTATAAAATCTGGATTCTCATACTGCTGAAACAAAACAATATTATAGTGAGCAAACCTGTTTTATCGGCTAGTTTTCGTTTCTGGGTTTTGGATAACTGCTCCTTTTTATCTTTTTTCTTAATTGCTGGCACATCAGGAGTTCCAGTTGTAATACTATTGCTTACTGAAGTCTGAGAAGGATAAAAATGGTTGTTAATATTTTGCATATCAGTTGAACAGATACCTCTGTGTGTGATTACCAAACCTGACCTACTGAAATATCTTGACTCTCAGAAAGAAGCAATGCTGTCAGCAGTCTGTAGCTTTTAATCAATATATAATCACGACTGTCATTTTAAAAGACATGTGTTGGGGATTGGAATTATTCCTTTTCAGAGTTGCAAAGGCCACCTCTTACACTTTCTAAATTTAGTCATGGAGTGTGATTTAGTTTGAAGGGATTCAGACTTCCCAAGCATGGAAAGCATTCTTTCTTCCTCAAAGCAAATCTGCAGCACTACAATGGCCAATAATGCACTTAGACAACACAGAAGCCACAAATAGATCCAGCCTGACTCATTTGAGACCCTGAAGGGGCACTGATGCAATCCATTGCATCCCAGGAAGGTTGCAGTAATTTGCTACCCTCCCACCCCCAGCAGATGCCTTTAGTCAGCTCTCTTGAGTTTTGCTTCTGCTCCAAGTCTCCATTTTTATGTTACTCTGTGGGACAGAGCTGCAGCTCACAAACATCTTGGTATAACACCAAAATAACAGTTAAATATAACAACTATGATGACAGATGATTGTGGCACCATACACTGTGTGTCACTGTTTAGCCACTAACGTGTATATCCAATATATTGATTAACAACTCAAAGGCAGAGTTATGAAGTATTTAGAGCTGTAATGACCTTTTTTTTTTTTTAAAAAAACTTTAAAAGCCAGATATTAAAATCTGAATTATCTACTTACCACAGTGTTAACCGGCTGATTTTCCATGAACACCTCTTTATTATCTTTGGCATATTCAAAAAGTGTGTATGTCATAGCAGTTCCAAGATTTGCTTCAACTTCTACCATTAACTTATCCAATATACTTTGTTTAATAGCTGAAGATCTAAAAGAAATCATAGAACGCAACTGTGATCTAGACAGATGAAGAAAAGCTTGTCAACTAAAAACGCTCCCACATACAAGGCTAGGGAGAGAAGCTGTCATAAATACTTACATTGTGTTGTTGAAAAAAGCATCCATTGATATGACTGGTGCTGTTTGTGGATATGTTTCTGGCCAAGAAACTTCTATTAGAAAGGCTTTAGGATCTCCACTTTCGCCTATCTGAAGGGAAAGAAAAACCTGTGTAAATCAACAGTTTCCAGTCACTTATTATGGTTTATAATGACAATATGAAAGTCCTTCCCTTCTTTAAGGCTATCCAAACACCATAAGATAACTATTTTCATAAAGCTGTCAGAAAATAAAAGCTGTTATCTTGAAAAAGTACATTTCTGACATCAATATTAACCTCTACCCTGCAGTTTTTTTCCTAGAAATACAGCAGAAACATTCAAAGCTGACTTTTTTTTTAATTGCTTGGTTTTAAAAGTACTGCTTGTAGAATGTGCAAGCCAAACATTACACTATCATATATGAGAACTGAAAAAGCCTTCTTTTTAACACCTGTCCCCACATCCAAGCTCAGAAAAACATGAAAGCAAGCCATAAACCAGTGTTTAAATAAATATGAAGATAAACTAGTGACCTAAGACAGCAAAAATAATAGATAAGAATTTCAATATTTATGTCCCAGCCCTACAGATATTTCACTATAAGAAAGAATGAGTAGAAAAAGAGTTAGGAAGTCAGTAGAATGACACTGGATTAAAAAATCATAGCATTAAAAAAAGCATGCTTTAATATAAGTAATCATGCACAACAAACCGATTTAGTAAACTCAAATTATGTACACAATCTTTACAATCATGTTAAATAAAAAAAGAAATTATTTTTTAAAAATTTAAAACTACTACAGGTGCCACCAAAGGCATACTATACAAACAGAAAGAACTTTCACACAAGGATTTGGAAAATGAATGCGACAAAGTTGCTTAAATCTGTATTCTGAAATCACTCAAAAATTCTCCCTTATTTCCCTCATTTAGAATAGTCAAAATCTGGTTTCATCAGATTGTGTGGAATTAAGTGTAGCCCCAAGTCCTAATCAAGGCTATTCTTAAAAAAAAAAAAAAAAAAAGTTGGTCCTATTTTATTTACAGTATCTATTTCAGCAGAGTGGACTAACTGACACTCAGAAGCATCTGTTTTAGAGGTGAAATAAGTAAGATTTTAAATTAAGAATCTGCAACATCATGTAGATGTCATCTACAGTGTTGCAGTCCACTTCCCATTGCTACCAAGAAGTGGTGGTAAGGTTTACAGAGTTCTCTCTCAGGAAAATCCTGTCAACTGTGCACTGAGAAAATCCAGACAGAAAGCTGCATGACCATGCTGCTTCTCCGTCAGTGAAACCTAAAAGCTGTGTAGCCTTACTTTAAACGATGGTGCTACATTTTCTCAACATTTGAAAAATCTTTCTTCAATCTCAATTTCACAGCACACTAATCACAAACCAGCTGTACTGTGTGAGACATGGGAGACATGAGGCTCAGAAAAATGGCATACAAATTCTACTTTCTCACTTGCATTATGCTTTCTCATAATACAAATTCTTCTTCATGGGAAAGATGTATTATTGCCTTTGTCTTACACCAAGTTTTACAGTATTTAAATGGAGTTCTCCTAACTTCTGACAATTATTTTTGTCTAATGAAAATGAGCAATGACCAAAGCCAGTAAAATGTAGAATGATACACTGTAGACTTGTACGCGTGTCATATTTACTCTTTTGAGGAAATTAAATTTTCTAAGAATGGTCCTATCAGTAGAGGAAAGCTGCACTTACATGGATGGGATTCAAGTGCTATTAATTAAACTGACCTATATCTCATTACAATTACTGATGTTATTCTGAAGTTATTTTAAAAGTCACAACAAGGCGATTTTAGATGCCTCCTCCCCGCTACAAGCATACTACATTTTCGGAAGTCTCCCTTTTGTCCCATGAGTGCCTAAGTTTTCATCAATAAAATCCAAAGACCCAAAGATCTGCCTCAGGCCATGCTCAGAAGAACTTCCTGGTTTTCACATTTAAGAAAGCTGGCAAGAATTTAATGCCAGAATCTAACTGCATATCTCAAGCACAGCACTCCTTGTATGTCTCCTGAGTACACTGTACCAGTGCACACACACAAAGCATTTTGTGGATTTTCTCTTTAGCGGGTAGACAAGGCATGTCAACTGCCTCTGAACAAGACTAAAACCTTGTAATTGAGCCATAAGGAAGGTTCAAAGTTTTAAATACAAATGTCTCTGTAAGTGACATTTCTGACCAGCTAGTTTAAGTACTAGGCAGTAGGCTGACTCGTTCAGCCAGTTTGACAGTTCTAGCTATGCAGTACACAGACGTGTATGCAGGACGCCTAGCTAAGGGTTAATAAACCCGCACTGGGAGCAAGTTCCTAAACATGAAGCATGTGCTATCAAGCATCATCGTACCTGAAAGAATGGCCTACGACTCTAGCCTTTAATGCACACTGTATACCCACTTGTTTTAGAAAACCCACAGTCCGTCAATTACACGACAGAATTTCAAAGCGAAGCCTGAGCTGCAGCGACTCGCAGACCTTCACCTCGCCTTACCCTGTACTGGAAGGAAATCGGGCTAAGCTCCCTGAAGCACAGATCCCCCTCGTAGATAGAGCGCAGCGCTTCCAGCTCCATCTGCAGCAAGGAGCACAGGAGGTTACCGATTTCAGCCCGAACACGAAGCTCGCACCCAATCGTGGTTGGTTTGCGAAGCTGTGCACGGCTCCGCCGGGATCCCGCCCTCCCCCCGGCCTCCCCAGCCCCGCCGCCGCCCGGCTCCCTCCTCCCCACCTCCTTGCCCGCTGGAGCGGCCGGCTCTTCCCTCACGCTCCCCGCCACCTGGGTCGCCT